AAAGGTCACACAGCTAATGAGTGGTTGAGCTGGGATTCAGATCCCCTCCGTCTACTCCTAGGGCCATGCCCTTAATCAGATACTATTCCGAGCACATTGGCAGGTGCATCATAATATCAAAATATACCTCGCAGGGCTGATGTGAAAATTAAGAGATTATATATATGAAAACTGTTGGGCAAACCACAAAATCCTTCCAAAGATTCGCTGTGATTATTTCTCTTGGTTTTACACAGGGCTTGCTCAGCTGTGCTTAGTGGCCATGTCTATATTAATCCCATAATTTATCCTTAAACCACCGAAGTCTTATTTGCCTGGCTTTTTCCATAGCCGAAGGGAAACTGAAAATATGCCTTTTGTAAGAAAGCCTTAACACCTGCTGCTAAAGGGCGCTAAACCATCTGGATCGTCAAAGGGGTATAGGCTCACTTACAAAAGACGTAGATTAATTTGGACATTGTTTCCCTACATAAACCAGGCATAAGGAGGCAAGCAACCCAGGGAAGGATAATCATGCTGAGAGTGGAAGCACTTATTAGAAATAATTACCATGTAATTATCCACAACTTCCCTGGAGTCTGTAGCCTGTGGCTAGTCTTAGGAGGTGCCCCTTCCTTACCAAGTACAAGAAGACTGAAGCACTTCAATAAGTTGATCAGGGCATGTGCCTGTGTCTTATAGTTTGGTTACCGCCACCTGGGCCTACTTCTCACTTAATGAAGCCTTCAGTGCTTATAGCTAAGGTGCAGAACAGCTGTAGACTTTCTTCATCTGGATCCACCACACACCCCTCCCTTTTTTAATAGCACAGTGTTGTTTTGCAAGTGTGTGGGTGTGACACATCTGGCTTCTTTCCTTAAGAAAAGTGTTTATTGAACAATTAATTGTGGCGCATGGGGGCTGTGACATTTCTCTTTTTGCTGTGCCTCTGAGCTGTGTTTCCACGCTGCGAGGCGGCCCACTGAAGATCAGTAACAACACTATAAAGGAACAATGGCTATAGAAGCCTTGACAAGTGCAGGGAGAGACCTAGACACTTCCGAGAGGGGCATGATTGCCTACAAGGTTAATCAGTTCCCCTTGTTTCCATTCCAGCTCCACATTTGTCTTGGTGACAGCAGCTGCAAATGTAAAATCAAACCTACACACTTAGACAATTGGAATTGTATTTACCTGATCAAAATGTGTAAATGATCTGTTCTCTGTGTCTTCTTAACTGGAATTTAAGGAGCACAGCAAAGCTCCGGCTATAGGTCAGTGAGAGGCATCCTTTTGTGTGGTGTCCAGATACAATTTAGTTGTCTTGGATAGACAGTTGGAAAGAACTGCAGTCACAGCCTAGAATCTTGATTGTCATGATCACCATTATTATTGTTATAGCTGCCATTTATTGAGCCTTTATATATGACAAGCACTTTATATGTATTCCTATCTCATTTCTTCCTCTTAATAACACTGCAGATAGCTAATAGTGTTTTTATCATGTACAGATGAGAAAACTGAGATTAAGTAACTTGCTTATGGTCATTGGTGCAAGGTTCTAGATTTGAACTGGGTCTGACCCATGCTCTGAACCACTAGGGCTTAACAATCCCAAACCTCGCTAGAATATGCAAGTGTAGAGAACACAAGGGCTTGTGATCGACCTGACAGTTTTAAATCTTTGTTTTCAAGAAAGCCAATCAGAGAAGAAGGCTTAACAAATCTCTTTGCAAACCGATTTGTTGGCCCACCTTTGATTATTCTCAGTACAAGAAAAGGGTTAAAAATATCTCTTGCAGCAGTGAAGTGGCCTTATTTTGAGAATGAGTCTTCGTAGAAGTAATCAGGCTAAAACGAGGTCATTAGAGCGGGCCCTAATCCAATGTCATTGGTGTCCTCGTAAGTAGGTGAAATTAGGACACAGAGACAGACACATGGAGGGAAGACACTGTGAAAAGACACAGAGAGAAAGCCGCAGAAGGCTGAAGCAGAGGGTGAATTGATGCTGCCACAAGCCAAGGAACACCTGGGGCTACCAGAACCTAGAAGAGGCGAGGAAGGATCCTTCCCCTCCAGGTTTCAGAGGGAACCCGGCCCTGCTGGCACTTTAATTTCAGACTTGTAGCCCCCAGAACTATGAGACAATAAATTTCTACTGTTTATAGCCACTCAGTCACAACCTCCCTGGAAAACACATACTCCTGTTCTATTCTGTTCTGTACTGTTTTGTTCTGTTTTATTCTCTTTCTTTAAGAAAATGGATTTCCAGGCTGGGCATGGTGGCTTACACCTGTAATCCCAGCACTTTGGGAGGCCAAAGCAGGTGGATAACTTGCGGTCAGGAGTTCGAGACCAGCCTGGCCAATATGGTGAAACCCCCGTGTCTACTACAAATACAAAAAATTAGCTGGCCGTGGTGGCGGGTGCTTATAGTCCCAGCTTACTCGGGAGGCCGAGGCAGGGGAATCACTTTAACCCGGGAGGTGGAGGTTGCAGTTAGCTGAGATTGCGACATTGCACTCCAGCCGGGGCGACACAGTAAGACTGCATCTCAAAAAAAAAAAAAAAGAGAAACAGATTTCCCAATCTACTAATTTTGAATAACACCAGTCTCCAGAGCTCAGCATTCACGCCCTTTCCAAGCTGGCTCCTGTCTAATTTTCTAACCTCAGTATTAGTTAACCCCCGACCCACCCTGAACACACCTGGTGTCACACAGTCCATCTGTCCGAGAGCACAGCATCAACCTGAGTGCAGGTGGCCTGCTCATTGCCTGTGCTGCCACCTTTTCCCTCAGTGGCTATTCATTTTTTAATGTCCAGCTTCAAGTCACCTCCTCTGACAGGATTCCCCTGGCTCTTCGAGCAGAGTCATTTGGTCCCTGTCCTCTGTTCCCCCCATACACTTTATCAGCCCCAGTTACAGCACTTACATTGTATGACGGGATCAATCTCTGTGTCCCCTTCATCCCCTCCCCACAACTAAACTTCAAGTTCCTTAAAGAAGACTATCTTTTTCCTTGTTTTTTATTTTTAATCAAGTGTCTAGCACAGAACCTGCCTGACACACGACAAATCCAAATACAGGGTACCCCAAAAAGGTTAGTGCAGTTTTAAGCTTTAATAACTTCTTAAGTTGAAATGTTACAGACTTACAAAACTCATTTGAACATTTACTTCTTTTGACTCTGTTTTAATTATTTTAATAAATGTAATTGTAATTTTCTTTTCTGGTTAATGTATGCCATATTTCACTCAGGGGAACTGAAACAAAAATGAAAATTAAAATGTGTTATTCAACACTCTTCACAGAGATAAATAGTGTTAAATTAAGTTTCAAACAGTGTTCTTATAAGTTGCAGCATTTATAGCCTTGAGGTTATTAAAACTGCAGGAAGACTTTTGGGACACCCTGTTTTTGAATAAATATGCTACAGTATGACTCATCCTGTGTTTACTGTAAAATTCAGTTTAATTCTTAAGTGGTTCCATGTGGGCATAGGTATTGTTTGGCCAGTAGTTGTCCTTATACTTAGACCCAAGGAGCCCTTGTCCAGGGCCCGCACTTAAGAAGGCAAATTCCAAATTCCCTCCCCAAATGGCACTGAGCCTCCTTCAAGGGTCTGCACACCAGCAGCGGTGTTGTCTGCTAATGTCTGTACTCCCATGGGCGAACATTGCTGACTCTGGTGTTCATACTCTTGAGCCCAAGAGGTGGCTGGGGACAGCTGCTTCTGGGAAGCTGGACTGAGCTTCCACCAATGGACTAGAGCCCTGTGGGAAGAGAGGAGGTGGCTACAGACCAGGAACTAGAAACCACTTCTCCCTGCATCATCATATTTAAGGGCAGATCATCCACAGTTTCAATCTGGCCTTTCATGTCAATTCCCAAGGCATATTTGTCTAGGTAGGAAGGTAGAACTTATTGTACTTAATCATTTGTTAACTTCGTGTATAACTTTTAAATATTTAGATATCTGGCATACAAATCTCTGTTTGTACTTTTGCCCTGGGTCCTGCAAATATTACAGGTGGGCTGATTTTGGCCTTAAAAAATTATTTTGCCACAAACCGATTTTTCTCCGTAAAGAGGTAGGTGGGTAGGAAGTACTTCCAAATAGAAGGTATGATAGCAAAGAATGACTGCAGTCACTGAGCACATACTCTGTGCGGGGTGATTTACGCATCGTTTTTTCAGTTAGTCCTCACAGCAACCCAATAAAGTAGGTACTTAGGAAAAAAGATATTCAGTGACATTAGTTTGTTCCAGCTCATAAAACTAGTGCTTTAGTTAGCCTTAGTTGCATAACAAACTACGCGAAACTGAAAGTGGCGTAAAACAGTTTTTTCCCCTGACTGTCAGGTTGGCTAGGCTGCTCCGCTGCGGGTTTCCCTGGGCTCACTCCTGCAGCTAGGTGTGAGGAGATGGAGGTTGGCCGGGGACAGTGCAGAAGATTCCCCATGGCCTCTCCCACTTGTCTGGCAGTTGATGCTGCTGTTGCTGATAATGATGACCTTCCTTTATTTTGTGTTATCTACTTGCCATTGCAACCGCCTTGCCTTTTTTAGTTCTTGCTCCCGTACTGTCTGGCTCAATGCCCAGCACCTGGTGATGGTTAATAATACGCACTCAACTCACTTAAAAGCAATGTGACCCTGGATGGGTTACTTAACCTCACTTAGTTTGTGTTCCCCACTTGCAAAATGGGTATAATGATACAGAACACATCAGGTGGCTCTGAGACTCCAGCGCAGTGATTCAGGAGAGTGCTTGGCAGGACAGTGGCACTTGGTGCGCGCTTACTGCTAGTGCAGCTGGAATGCAGACCATCAGTGAATGTGTGTTGCCTTTTTAAACAGTGGGAATCAAACATGACTCGCTTTCCAAATGTAAATCCTGGGCTTGCAAGTAAGTCCTACAGTGCAGAAATAATTTCAAAATACAGGGTTGAAATTCTAAGATAGCAGATTTTAAAAAGTGGGAGACAAAATCAGAATAAAACAAAGGGACAAACCAACCTGAATTGCACCGCAGCCGACGATCTTTATTGATTTTTAAGTTTCCACCCAGCATGGGAAGCGCTGACTTGGTGCGGACAGGTTTCTGGGACCAGGAGGTGGGGACACGACGTACCTTTTGCCCTCTAGGTCTGGGTCATGTGAGCCTAAAGGAGCGCTTAAAGGCTGGAGTTCTGCAGGGTCCTCATGACTGGGTGGGGCTGCCTCACTTCTGCCTGACTTGGGAAGCGCTGCAAGCACAACCGGCTGGGGTCCTTGCGTACCGCGGCTCTGGGAGGAGCACCGACTGCGCCGCGTAAGTGCTGCCTGCCCCGCGTGGGTCGTGCCGGCTCAACGGCACAGGTCCTCGCCTCTGTCCCTCGGACGTAGGGAGCGCGGGACAGGTGATCTCAAAAGCCCTCAGCACCAACAGGGGACAAAGCGCCGCATGGGTGAGACTGGAATGGGGTGGTTGTGGCCGAGTCAAAGTTTTCAAGTTGGAGCATTGGCGATGCACTGCGTGCGCCCAGCCAAAGGAATACTCTTGAAAGTTCCTGGCATAACTGTCGCACCCAGCGTTCTTCCAGGCTAGAAGGCGCCTCCTACTGCAGGAGCTCTTCTGGGGAAGTGCGAAGCTGTGGGGTCCTCTACGGGTCTTAGCGCTGGAGGGTGGCGAGTGCAGGACACTTTCTCTTACTACCTCAACGCGTCTTTTGGGGATGTGTTGATTTCGTAGGTGCTCAGAAGCAGGAGAGGCGGAAAATGCCTTCTATTTGAACGTGCCCAAAGCAGGGAAACTTGGCTTCAGCCTAGGAAGGAAAACACATAGGAAGACTTTTATTCTTGGAATGTAGGATTAGGAGAAACCAAGGGCACAGGAGACAGGTGGAAGCAGCTCCCTGCGACGTGTAGATCAGCTTGATGATACAGAAGCAAAAGGACTTTGAAATATTTATGGATTTAAATCCCAGCTCTGGCCTTGGCTAGTTAGTGACCTTGGGCAAATTATTTAAGCCTACTAAACCTCAGTCTTGCCATCTGAAAGATGGAGATAATAAGTTTTTCTTTTTAAATACTTGTTCTTTTGGAAATAGAAATAACATAGAAAATGCCTCCCTAGCGCGGGACTTGGCTTTTCAGCTAAGTGTAATTTTCCTCATCAGTTATGATTGATGATGAAGTCTATGGTGAAGACAGAACAAATTAATGTTTAAAACTCTGGCCATATAATGACTGTGGCAACGCATGACCCGTGTGCAGTCATCTTTGAGCCCCCCACCTTCTCTGCAACCCCAGTGCGTCCCAAGAAAGGTGCTTGGGTTTTGGAGCTGGACAATTCTGTGCAATTCCTGATTCTAGTATTCACTACTTGGATGACATCAGGGACGTTACTTATCTTCCACAGCCTCAGTTTTGGCTTCAGTAAATGAAAAAGGAGCCTCTCAGTACTTGCCTTTCCCTTCCCCGCTTAAATGTTCAACTCCTTTTTTTTTTTTTTTCCTTTTTTGTTTTTTGGTCTTCAGGTCAAAAAATATCAAGGCAAGTTCTTCTGCTTCTTGGATGACATCAGGGACGTTACTTATCTTCCACAGCCTCAGTTTTGGCTTCAGTAAATGAAAAAGGAGCCTCTCAGTACTTGCCTTTCCCTTCCCCGCTTAAATGTTCAACTCCTTTTTTTTTTTTTTTCCTTTCTTTGATTTGGGATGAGTAAGAACAAAGATGTAAGCAGAAATAAAAGTCCACCGAGAATACATTTTATTAGTTTGATAAATAACGTTTAAGAAAGTTGTCCAAAAGGAGAATTGGAGCACTTTGGAAAAGTACACTGCACTGACTTAGTTGGTATCTGAAAGTCTGCATGGTTGTCAAGACCCTTTGACTAACTGGGCATTCTAGATGTGTACCTCATGCTATCTAAGTACAGGGGAAACCCTTTATAATGTAGTGTCAGTGTTCTTAACACGGTGTTGTTTTATTAATATTTTATAGAAGTTGTTTGGGAGGGGCAGTTGGTCCCCCAGTTTATATAAATCCAGTTTATAAATCACTTTATAGTGGGATTCTACTAACCTGAGAAATAGGTGGGTTTTAACTGACAGTTTGAATGACTTAGAAGAGTATGTTAAGAAAGTCCGCTGGGTCTACCAGTTCACCCCCCACAAAAAATAAAAACAAGAAGCGAATGATATAACAATTTTAAAAAATGAGTTTGTTTTTGTTTTGGGCAGCATCTAGTTTGTCAGAGGAAACATTGAGTGTTGAATACTACCCTGGGATGCACAGAACTAAGGCAATGAGAGGGGAGGAACTCAGTTGTTGCCTCAGGTATCATCAGATATCTGTTTATTATCACCCAAATACTCAAGGTAAATAGGTAATGACCCATTCTTCCTTTTTTTGAGATAAGAGTCTCATTTTGTCACCCAAGCTGGAGTGCAGTGGCACCATCTCACTGCAACCTCCATCTCCCGGGTTCAAGCGATTCTGGTGCCTCAGCCTCCTGAGTAGCCAGAATTACAGGTGTACACCACCGTGCCCGGCTAAGTTTTGTGTCTTTGGTGGAGATGGGGTTTTGCCATGTTGTCCAGGCTGATCTCAAACTCCCGACCTCAAGTGATCCTCCCACCTCAGGTTCCAAAGTGCTGGGATTACAGGCATGAGCCTCTGTGCCTGGCCAGTGACCCCTTCTTAATAGGAAGTATGGTTCACTAAAGAGCAAACATGATTGTTTTAGTTTAACATTTCCAATGGCTTTATAGTGTGGGATTTTCTTTGACTGAACTAAGAACATTTAAAAGAAGTAGGCAAGCTTCTCAGAATTAGAAAGATACCTCTAGAACAATGACTCATTAACGTCTATATTGACTTGGGAGAGAGGTAAGCTGGCCAAAAGCTAAGAACTGTACTTTCCTGGTAAAAATAGTAATGGAGTTTGAACTTTTATACTATATTTGCAAGCTCAAAGATGTAAGCCTTAATAGACAGTTTACAAGACAGCTATTACAGCGTGTCTGAACTGAAACCAGGGTATTGAGATTTCTCTGCCTTCAGAGATATTATAGGTATAACCTTGAACATGAAATCACATGCTTTCATTGCTTTAAGTCAGACCCTGGAGTGCAGGACAGGGTAGTGGTGGTGAAAGAGGGGGAAGGATTGTGTCCTTACATCTTGGAGCCTGAAAAAGCAAATTCTTTGTAGCTTATCTTTCCAATACAGTCGCAACTTATCTCCTAACTTTTTATCTCTAGTCTGATTCTAGTTATTGGTTGTCTTTAAATTGCTTAGAGTTGTCTACAGGTCAAAATATTTACTTAGAACCCTGAGGCTAAGCCCTTCCTCCTTTCCTTTTTGAGACTGTGTGTCCCATTACCCCTTTCAGAAAGACTGCTTGACATGTCTTTTTGTACTGTATGATTCTTGGGAGACAATGTAACCCAGCTCCCAACTGATTCATTTTCTCGTTTATTTATTGATTTAACTAATGTTTTTCCCAGTGTTTGATTATGAAAAGGTTTAAACTTTCAGAAAAGTCAAAAAAATTTTGCAATCTAGAATCTACCTATACTCTATTATTGATTAGAAGCCAGGGTATTGATTTCAATTGATTAATCAACTGGCATTGATTAGTTCCTACCCTTTGCCTGGAGGTTTGCTAAGCAAAGCCGTAAAAACATAAAAGGCGGGATAGGGTTAGGGAACAAGGAGAGTTTTGATTTGGCAGAGCACAGGCTTAGAGTTTGTGAAGGGATCATGTAACTTTGGTTTGAAAAGTTACGTTGGAGTTGTACGGTAGAGGACATTACATTTCATCGTAGGAAGTTTATACTTTATCCTGGTTGCAGGTGGGAGCCATTGAAGGCATGGGAGGAAGGGAGTGCCTTGTGTTTTAGAAAGCTCATTGCAGTATCAGCGTTAGGCTAAGTTGGAGGGAAAAGGACTGCAAGTCTGAGAGATGTGTTAGGAAGCTTTGTAAATGTCTCGGGGCAAGTAAGGGTTTAACTGTGGATAGAACAGAGAAAAAAGGAAGTAGGATAGCACTTGGTGACAGATTTGACTTGAGGACTTCTGGTTTCAGAACTCAGGCGTCTGCAATAATAAGGGAGCATCATTAAGAATCTGGAAGTTGTTGGGTGTGGTGGCTCACGCTTGTAATCCCAGCACTTTGGGAGGCCGAGGCAGGCAGATCACCTGAGGTCAGGAGTTCGAGACCAGCCTAGCCAACATGGTGAAACCCTGTGTCTACTAAAAATACGAAAATTAGCCAGGCGTGGTGGTGCATGCCTGTAATCCCAGATACTCAGGAGGCTGAGGAATATCTCCTTATATTTGACACAAGGGGAAATGGCAGCCATAGCTAATTCTGAAAACGAGAAATGTTCCTGCCTGGGTTACTTGATGAAGAATATATGCTACTGACTGTATGCTAGGCACTGTATTAAGCGTTTGCACATGTAGGCTCCTTACTGTGGCCCCTCTGTTTTGGGAAGATGATCAGCATCCTTGTGGAGGTGACAGTTGACAGTGGTGATAACAGTCCTGAAACGCCCAATAGCAGTGTCAGGACTGAACAAACATTTGGACTAGTGATTAATACTCAAGGGGTGGTTGAATGGGAATGTACGGAAGAAGAAAAAAGAAGGACAAGATCTTGAAGAAAATCTGAATATATGGAGTTCTTTGACAAAAATAAATACGGTGTTCAATGAATCGTAGTATTATTAAGCCGTTATTCTACAGTGTTATTGTAGCTGTAGTTCTCCTTAAATAATTGACCACAGTCTCTAACTAGAAGCATATCCACACTAGTAAAGTGAAGTAAGTCCTTCCTTTTCCCATTCTGGGAAGTGCAGGGGGTAAGGTGAGGCAGAGGAAAGAAAAAGAGAAAGTAAATAAATTTTTTAATATAGGACTTTTAGAGCGTACAATGCCTTTTTCCAGGTAACCCACTTCCAGATCAGAAGCCAGTAATTTAATGAACTTGTCTATCTTTTTCAACAAGGCAACAGCTCCCCCCTTTTTTTTTTTTTTTGAGGACGGAGCCTCACTCTGTTGTCCAGGCTGGAGTGCAGTGGCGCAATCTCAGCTGTTGGCGCAATCTGGCTCACTGCAACCTCTGCCTCCTGGGTTCAAGCGATTCTTCCTGCCTCAAACCTCCTGAGTTG